GGACACAGCTCAGCATCAAGCAAAATGTTACTTGCCTTCACGTCTCTGTGTATGATCCTTGGCCTTGATTCCTCATGAAGATAAGCTAGTCCCCTAGCAGTTGCCAAGCAGATACTGAAGCGGGTTGACCAATCAAGATGCAAGTCTTTTCTTCCTGTATATGTGAAAGAGGCAGGAAATGTTATGGAGAGCAATTAATTTGGAGAAGAAATGAACCCAGATGCAGATATGTTTCATTTTCCTGCATAAAGGCTAAAAGGAGCAAATAAATTGTTCAGTCATACCAAAGAGTGCTTGGTCTAGGCTTTTGTTCTCAAGATACTCATAAACAAGAAGGCGTCTGTTTCCTTCTATGCAACATCCATACAGTTTAACAAGGTTGCGATGTTGCACCGCAGATATGGTAGCAATCTCAGTAACAAATTGACTCTTCCCTTGGCGAGATGCTACTGAAAGCTGCTTCACAGCTACTGCTCGCCCATCAGAAAGTTTACCCTATAATGTATTTACAGTGCTTTATTAAGTATCATTATCGTATAAATCTTCTATCTCATTAAAAACAGATTTAAGATTTTAAGCCAATAGCTTACCAGGTGCACTGGACCAAATCCACCTTCTCCTAACTTATTTGAGGGACTGAAGTCATCTGTTGCAGCTCTCAACTCAGCATAACTGAAGGTGTTTGGTCTGGGTCCTATTCCCAGAAGCTCTGGAAATTCAAGAGAAGAAGTTGGACTAAAATCTACTGATGAAATAGCAGATAATTATATAAAGTTGAAATTTTACAAACACTAGTCCTAGGATTCAGCATCTTAAATTTAAAGGCCATGGGCCATTGTATAATCTCTCTTCTTTTTTTTTTCTTTGTTGTCCTTTTCATATAATTAATCAGAACATTGATGAGTAAAAATAAGAGCAGGGTCTATACCATTACCAGAAGCCACGGGATATGTCATAATATATGGGAGAACAAAACCAAATATCAACAACTCATAATATTCAAGTTTACTTCCTATACGTAAAATTAGTTCCATTGAGCACTGGGAATACTGGTTCCACATGAATGCATTGCCACAGGAGAGAGCAGCAACATTGTCAAAGAAGTTGGAATAAAAAAAAAAATCAGTTTCTCTCTCCATCAAGGGAGATAAATCCTCTTAGCCAACCTTCCAAAAGTACCACCAGAATATCTCTTCCTTTAAAAACCTGTTTGTCCACCCTTGTAATAAGGCAGAAAACAATTATGTTTCAAGATCAAAAAGAGTTTAACCTAGAACTTGTTTTGGGGAACCTAGAACTTCACTCAGCAGCAATGAGGCCAGATACACCATGGTATATTAACATGAATCAGTTTTACAAATAATATCATAACTAATTAACTACTGCTATTGCACTTTTTAGGACTCTTACCTTCCTCATCATTATCTTTTCTCCTTCTCAAGTAGAAGACTGCAAATATCAATATCAAGGAGAAGGTGACAACTCCAACTGGAACTGCAACACCAACAATCAACCCAGTCCTCTTCTCTTTTGCTGTATCTAGGGGAATTTCACTTACAGTTGGTGTGAAATCTGATCAACAGGTTTTAGGCATTAGCAGTGGCAAACAGAGATAGACATGACTTTAGATTTTAAACAAAGATTCTTATGTTATCTCATTTCTTACTTGATACCACGCTGATTGCTGAAATGGATGGTCCATAGTAACCTTGATCTGGTATGCAGCAAGTTCCCTTACCAGCCCAGAATAGGTGAATTTCAAGATGGTTCTCTGTCACAATAGCAATGAAATTCTTAGTGATTGCTCTTTCAACCCCACCTGCCTCTTTTGATATCTCAAAATCCTTCAATACGATGGTTCCCTGGGAACAGTTGATTATGATTAAAATCTGAAAATGTGAAACTTAAGTTTGCAAATTTGTAATTTTAGAAACATAAGTTACATTGAGGATTTGAATAAAATGATCCATAAATGCAATATGGAGAATGGTTTTACAATTCTTATGGGAATTACCTGAATATAAATATCAAAAACTCGCCTTCCCAGACTCTTCCAAGTTTGTTTTCTTTGATCATCGAAAGCTGTTTCTGCAAAAAGCAAGTTAACTATATAAGGCCCATTCTCTAGGCCTAGGCCATAGTATCTGAGTGATCCAGGGGATATCCTCGAAGTCTGATAAAGCTCTGGCGAGTTTGTGTTTCTCACTTGTGCCAAGGTGTTTTGCACATAAATTGAATTTTTTCTCTCAGCAAACAAACCCACATTGCTAACTGCCCATTTCTCACTACTGATTACATTAAATGATGCTATGCTAAGAGAAGAGTTTTCAGCCTCATATTTTATCCCATCAGCAGTCATCTCTGAGCCACCACACTTGATTGAGAAATTTGCATCTGCCAACATCAATATTTTAATATGCTTGGCAAGTTACTCAAGAACAATAATTAAAATACCAGCTACAGAAATTCATACCCAGTAGGTTACTAAAGTCATCATTTTATAACAGATTAAAAACAGCAAGTAAATTTTGACTCCTTTCAAGTTCTAGCAAGATGAAGTTAATGACTTTCTAAAATTGCCATTGATGCATGTATATTGCAATTGGCCAAGCTCAGAATTATTGATAATAGGAAAGTAGAAATGGATAATTTGCCACGGAGAGTCTAAGAACACTCTAATATACAATCATCTATGCCTTTTCCCCTTTACTTGAAGTTTCCTTCTGTGATTAGAGTGTAATACCGAGCACAAGCTATCTCAAGGCAATGCAGTAGATAAACAGTGCTTTGAAAGGAATTGAACACTAGTAAAAGAAGCTTACAGAGTGGAGAGTTCCTGTTGCATGGGAAGCTTCTTTGAAGGCAATGCAATCCTGGTAAAAGACTAAAAATAAATAAAGTAGTTATTTTTTATTAGTGTCATAAATGACAGAAGAATGACTTCCATTGTGGAAAAAATTGCAACCAATTTTCTTATGCCTCTATATTAAGGTGGATAGAAGAAGTAAAGTATACTTAAGAACTACAACTCACCTTTTGTTTAAATTGTCAAATGTGAAGTTGTTGGCTACTAGATTCCTGCATGATACAAAGCAACAACACAAATGAACATCTGTCATACCAGTTGTAACAATCCAACATTCATGAATTTAAAGTGACACATTCTTTCTAGAAATGATAAACATAGATGTGAAGTACATTACTATCGTGATTCTTGATAACCAAAAGGACTTCCAGAGGACTTCTAGTTGCGCATTCAAATTTAGGTCATCAGCACAGTTAGGTAACAAAGTGAGAATAAAACTAGGTCACTGGATCTGACAAGGATTTAATGGAGATGGTTGGAGTAGATCTTGTACATTTTTCTTTCATTCTTATTGTATTAATAATGTGACATCAATTAAAAGAAAAATAAGCTCAAGCTACATACAATTGTAAGTTTGTGTTCACCCATGAGGGAAAGCTTCCAGACAGAAAATTGTAAGATAAATCTCTGCATGAGAAAGTAGTCAAAGTAAAATAGCAGAAAGTTAGAAGAAGCTACTGATTCCAATCAAGAGAATGCTCAGAATGGTATGGCTTACATATTCATTAGTTTTTCACTCTTTTGGGCAGGGATGGTACCAGACAGACTATTATTTCCAAGAAACCTGGACACATTGACAGAATATAATACATTCAAATTTTTTTTTTTTCTTTTGATGGTTAATACCATCAGGTTGATGGCATTAGGTTGACCAGAAAAACTAACAACCAAGTTGACATAAATCAAGATTTTGAAGCAACTTCTATGACTTTACAAGTATGTAAGAGAACTTATGCTGAACAAAGCGCTTGGAATTTGGCCTGTCAAGTTATTGAAACTCAAATCCCTGGTAAAGAAAGAGGAATTAAATTAATATAGGAAATGGAAGCAAATTTCATACACAACATATTCATCAGGCAAAGTGTGAACATATCTTACAGTTTTTGTAAAGATTGGAGTTCTCCAATATCAGATGGAATACTACCAGTAATTAATGCATTTCTTAAAACTCTACAGGAAAATAAAGAACAAAGGAAAAGAGTAGAGTTTGTTAGTCAATTAACTAATAAAACAAACACAACAAAGATAAAAGAAGATGTAGGTTTCTGAACATGACTAAAGAGTTTTTACTTACAAGTCAGTTAAACTTGTTAAATTTCTAATGAAATCAAGAGAGGAGCTCACATTGGATAAACCATTGATTCGCCTGCAGGATTGTAGATAAAAATTGAAGAAGTTAGCCATTATACATACTTTCGGAATCATGCATGTAGAGACAGAGTCAATGGTAAGTGAATAGTTACTTACAGAGAATCTAGAGAGGTTAATTTAGAAAAACTGGATGGTATAGGACCTTGAAAGGAGTTCCCTTCTAATCTCCTACAGAAATATTTTGCAGGCTAATTAAGAAAGAACAAACTAGATATATCTCACTGTCGAAGAAATGAGGCAAAACCAATCCAAAAAGAATGTCTTTCAAAATAGAATAAGAAGTATTTAACTTACATTGATGTAAGCTTTGTCCAGTTGCCAATGAAACCAGGTATCTTGCCTGTGAAAGGACTGTCTGTTACCGTCCTGAAATCAAAAAAGCTCTCTATTAATGACAGCATAAGAGAAGATGACTTTGAGTTGCTCCAAAAACATCAGCAGATAAATAAATACAGATTATGATCCCAACGACTTTCTTACATGATTCGCATGTTTAAAAGGTTAGCAAATGTTGAGGGAATTTCACCACCAACTCCACAGCTGTTAAGGTAACTGCACACTCATAAACCAAGACTGTTTATTATTCCATGATATGCTTCTTACTGCACAAACTTATTGAACTACAAAGAACTAGAAGAAAGTTATAACTCACAGTTCTTCAAGTTTGACTAAATTACCAAGTTCTGGTGGAAGCGTTCCGGAGAAATTATTTGAACCAACGGATCTGCATGACAGAATTCAAATAAAATATTTTTTTGGAAAAAGAGAAACCATCAAAATTGACATGAGGTTTTATTTGAACCTATCACAAGGATTGCACTTCTCAGTATCAAAACTAAGTGAAGAAATTATAAGTCCTTCAAGAGATTTTGCTGGTCTCTCAAGTCTCAAAAGGAGGAATGTTGTGAGGGTTTCATGTGAAATTTAATCAACATAAAATGTCCTAAGCTTTTCAGAAGAGCCGCACAGATTCTGTCTCAATCAGTGCCATGAATCTTCTAGTGACTTGACTACCATATTGCATCACTACTTCACATCAGACATCAAACAATGTGAGTACCTCAGGACCTCTTGGATACCATTTATAGGAAGATTATATTAAAATCATAAAAAGACCCAAATCACTCAAATTATCTACAATCCCTCATATTTCTATGAAAGGTAGTTGAAACTGATACTGATTTTGAAATTTGAATACCTGAAGTTATTTATCTTCACTTCTGGAATTCATTAATTCAATGTATATCAGAATTCAAAAGTATAGTTATTATTGTGAGAGTTTGTTAAATTAGCTAGTAAGCACTTTCAGATCCTCTCAACATAATATTGAATTGATTTTTGATTTTATAAGAAAGGCACTTTCATAATTACCAAGGACCAAACTTGTGCATTATGTAACTTACAAACTACATTTGTGTGGTAAAACAGACTCAACAGAACCATTTGATGCATTACAAAGGTTGATAAAAAAATTAATAGATTGATGCATCATGATGACAAAGGTAGAATTTCTTCAGGTCTTACAGCAGAGTTAGCTCCTTAAGATTTCCAAGCTCCTTAGGAATGGGCCCAGAGAATGCGTTGTAGGCAATAGACCTTGACACAAAAAACATAACCCAAAAAATTACTTGTGGCTTTTCAGATAAGAATTAGCAAAAATAACACACCAAATCAATGAGTTTTACCTACGGAATAAGCATGATCACTATAATCAGCAAATAGGTGAGATGCATTGATAGTAATCAGTGTAAATGATACACTGAAGTAAATTCAAAGTGGTTCGCTTCATGGAGTTGAAGATCTTTAGCACTTCAATGATTTAGCTTCATAATCAAGGCTCAATGCCTCTTTTTTTATAAAGTAAGCAAGATGTAATTAACAGGTTGATACATGTATTCTTGACAAGAAAGACATTTAACCTCTGGAGCCAAAAATCATAAAAACTATATATTGAAATTTTAAAAGTTTTTGATAAATGCTATCTATTAAAGTAAAGTAAAATGCTTGCATAGGACCACCAGAATCCATACTTACAAAGACTGCAATGTAGATAAATTCCCAATCCATGCCGGCAAGGGACCGGTGAAATAATTTTGATCGATCTTCCTGCATCATCAAACAATATGTGAACAATTCAGTACTCTTAAAAACTCTCCAGGAAAATGATAAAATGTCATTTTCTACGAGCAAAAGAAAAATAAGAAACCATACAGAAAGGTTAAGAATTTGAGAGCCAAAAGCTCCTCCGGTAACACCCCTTGTTTGTTCAGTGCATACACTCTCCTGGGAAAATGAAACAAGCAGTCAGAGTGCAACTCAGCAACCGATCAAAAGTTCGAAACAGAAATGAATACGTTCGCCGGAGCAGTAAGAGACGGAGTGAGTACAGTTTGGTGATGTGGCAGGTGGTACTATTATTGATGGGGCAATCGCATGTGATGGCCGGATTGTTGGTAGGTGCATCGAAAACGGTGTCACTCAGAGCAGTTCCGGTGCATGGTTCGCCGCTGATATTCCAGGAATCCGGTGCCTGTGTGTCCCATTGTTGGAAGATTGAGTTCAATGCCCTCACTGCATCAAAGATTCAAGAAACGTCAAAAAGCTTTTTAAAAGTATGTCAACACAGCAAAATTTCTTTTTGAGGAGCAGGGATGATGACCCCTTGCTCAACCTATTGCCCGAACCTAGTTGTAATACTTTTGAAGTTTAACCAAAAGTATGTCAACACAGCAAAATTTCAAACTTAGTTTTAACCTTCTTTTTAAAAAAAAAAAAAAAAATTTATGCACAGTTGACAACAAGGACAATAGACAACTAATTCACATGTTTTGACAAATTAAATTCTTTAAATTAGATTAATTATCAATATCAAAGAAAGTCAACGTATCATTCAAATTTCAAAGCTTGATGACGGCGATTAAACTTTTAGATGAGAACAACAGTCAATTTAAGAATAGACGTCGATGCCAATCCCTTGATGGTGAAGACTTAACTGCACAGTACTCAATTATTACTCTTAACATGAGCGTATGCTTTGTTTCAGCTTTCGAAGAAAACTCTTCCAAAGACTGAAATTAGACTAAACAAAACCAAAGAAAAACGGATAATGTTACTAAAATTAAACTCTTTTTAAAGTCCTTTTTATAAAAAAGTTGATACCATTTTGTGCCGATCAATATGAGTACAGTACATATCAATTTTTTTATTAATTCAAAACAATATAAGATTTAATCTTGTTTTGGTTAAATTTCGGTCAAAATATCAACCATATTTCGAAACTTGGTAGATATAAATCAATTCAAATTTAAAAAAGGTTAAATGTCATTTTTGGTACTTAACTTTAATATTTTGCATAATTTTCATTTTTTTATTTTTTTTATACATTTTTTTAGTTTTTCAATTATGAAAAATGTACTTTTTTAATCATTTTATTAGTTACTCTGTTAAATTTGTCTAAATATACATATTTTTAGTTCTTTAACATAAAGTTGAGGGACAAAAAATCTACATCATTTTTAATTTATTTCAACAATTTCAGATTCAGACTTCTAGTTCTTAGTACTCACTAATGGCTACTCTCTCTTATCAGTAATGTTTAGTTTGTTTTTTGTATTCTTATTATACTTAAAAAACATGATTTCTTTCCTTATAGAAGTATTTTGTATTGCGAAGTGTATAATATTAAATCAAGAATGCTGTTATATTTTCTAATATTATCTTCATGTTCTAAAAAAAAATTATGGATGTTTTATAACATTGTCCATTTTAAACTTGTTTTCAATTTGTAGTAATATGATGGTTTTAAACGTTAGTTTCTTTTATCATTATTTTAAAATTTGATATTTAATTTATAAAAATATATATTTATAACGATAAATCCAAAATAGCACACAAAAAATTTCAATATTTAATATGTGTCATATATTTTAGTAACAAAACTAGTACATATACTGATACGATATTAACTCCCTTACCTTTTTAGCTTTTAAATGGTTAAAAACTAAAACTCTAAACTTGTGTTAAGCCTAATAAGAAATCAAAATTAAAAATTAAAATTAATAACTTGTTGGATACAAATTTTTAAGTTAAATTTTATACAATCAAAAAACCAAAATAAAAACTGCAATGATAATAAAAGAGGTGTAAGAAAATTTTTATATTTTTTTATATAAATTCATAATCGGATACTTCTTCAAAAGCTTTATTTAATTAATCAAAACTTCTAAAAAACAAGAATTAAGCTAAACTTACCCTAAATACATACATACATACATATATATATATATATATATCAAACTATGAGACTAGCTAGGTTATCTATTTATTAATTATTTTAAGTTGAACAAATGATGTAGTCCACTAGCTAAGGTACATAGGAAAATCAGCTTTTCTTTTTCTTTTCTTTTTTTTTTGTTTAAAGACTGGATGTTTAACCAAAGCTATACATGGGATGGGAATCAATTTTTTGTTGGTTTGGGTACATAGGAAAATCAGATTTATGACATTTGACAAAGTGATTATCCAAAATAAGTAAAATTTGAATACACTTAAAAGTACTTTAGTTAGAACTTTTTCCTTTAATTGAAACAAAATTTAGAATCAGAAAATTTAAAGGACCCATTATTTAGAAAATTTTCCTAAAATTTTAATATTTTAACTATTGTATATAAAAAA